TTTTGTGGTTTCCTGAGCTCTCTGTTCTTTGACTTCCTTGTCTTCAATAAGTAACCTTGGTGATTGTTCAACTGATTTGGAGAAGATTTTTTTTTTTTCTACGAGATGATGTGTAAGAAAATGGAGTTACCGGATTGGCTGGCTTAAAGATGGATCAGTTCAGTGGTGGGTTCCGCCCGGTTCTGCCCGGTTCCGCCGAGCCGGTAGCGATGATGATATCACCGAACCAGTTCGCCCCGCCCCCCGCATTATTCTTACCTTTTATTTGGTCCCACCCCCAATCTATTGCTGCCTCCTGAGTCCCAGCTGATGGCTAGAGGGAAAAAAACTGTTTAAACTCTTGCCGCGGGGCTTCAAAGGGCCGCCCTACAGCTGATCAGTGCTAAAAGAAAACAAATGAGTAGACCGGTGCCTGCAAAAATACACGAGTAGATCAGTGCCTGCAAAAATAAATGGGTAGATCGGTACAGCCTGGTAGACCAGTACCTCTGCTAAATCCTAAATAATTGTCACATGACCATCAAGCCACGCCCACAAAATAAGCCACGCCCACAGAACCGGTAGTAAAAAAATTTAGAACCTTGGAACCAAGGAGATATCTTTTACCCTCAAGGGACTTGACATAATTTTCCAAAGAGTATACTCCTTTCAGGCCCTGTCAAGGAACCTGTGTTTCCTTGGAGTCAGCCTGAGTAGGTGGCTCAGTGGCTAAGACAATGAGCTTGTCGATCAGAAAGGTTGGCAGTTCGGCAGTTTGAATCCCTAGTACAGGTCTCCTGTGTGAGCAGGGGGTTGGACTTGATGACCTCCAAAGTCCCTTCCAACTCTGTTACTGTTACACAGTTTTGAACTCTTTGAATAGGTGACTGCCTCAGTCTTTTTTGTGGAAACAAACTGCTATCATCTCCCTCAAAAGTGCAGCAAAAGGGACACAAAATCTTTTTAAGATAACGTCGGTCAGCTTGTCCGTCAAAAGAGCGCTAACGTAAAAAAACAGTAGTCCTTTTGTCTCAGGGTGGGGGAAGTACTGTATTATTTCTTTCTGTCCCTGGAAGTTAATCGCGCATGGACCGTGAATAAATGGATTTAGTCTGCAAGTTTCCAGTATGAGACTAATTTTAGGCTGCAACCTCGCGGCCAAAACGTCTCAACCCACGGGGGTGCAACTCTGGCAACCTTAAGGCCCGCGGAGTTCAATTCCCAGAATTCCCCCAGCCAGCCACATCGAGATAGATCATCTGTATTTTACATCGCTTTTAAAGAAATAGTCCAGTAGACATCCAGTAAATAACCAGGGGAAAGTCCGATTGTTACCGTTCACATCTAATCTCCCAGCGCTTTAGTCTTTGAGAAATTTTTCTTTGAGAAATTTATTGTGGGTTTTTGTTGTTGTTGTTGTTGTTGTTGTTTTTAGAAGCTGGGATGAGAGAAATAGAATGCAGACAAGAAAAGGGAGTGGAAATCTAATTCACACAGTCTTCTGAGAACTGTGAAGGAGGCCTGCACTTTACTGAGTATTGTGTTGTGCTGGGGATCTGCTGGGGGTTACCCTTAATACGTGGGGGAATATTCTGTAGAGCTCATACATTTTAAAAAATATATTCATAGAATCTACACTAGCGAGCCCCAATCCCTGCGATGTGGCCTATTCAGAACCGGATTGCAGAAGTGGTAGGCAAGCCCGTCAGAGGTGGTATTCAGCAGGTTCTGACCAGTTCTGCAGAACCGGTAGCGGAAATTGTGAGTAGTTTGGCGAACCAGTAAATACCACCTCTGACGGGCCCCACCCCCATCTATTCTCTGCCTCCCGAGTCCCAGCTGACTGGGAGGAAATGAGGATTTTTGCAATAACTTTCCCCTGGAATGGGGTGGGAATGGAGATTTTACAGTATCCTTTCCCTGCCACGCCCACCAAGCCATGCCACACCCACAACCAGTAGTAAAAAAAATTGAATCCCACCACTGGAGCCTGTGTGTGCGTGCAGCAGACGAGCGTGCTTGCCTACCGCTTGTGCAAATGGGGCTGTGTGCTCGCCCAACACTTGCATGGAACCATCCCGTCTCCTCCCATGTCCCCTCCATCCCGCAAAGTCAGAAAGATTGGAGACTAGTGGTCTCCACCACAAATGTCCAGCCTTGACAACTTTAAGACTTGGGGACTTCAAGTCCCAACATTCCCAAGCCAGCATGGCTCATTAGGGAATTCTGGGAATTGAAGTCCACGGCTCTTAAAATTGCCATGGTTGGGGACACCCTTAATGTTCACCAAGTTCTGGTGCCTGGTGGCTCAGCAGACTGATAGCATTGTGATTAACACCAGCTGCCTGCAATTACTGCAAGTTCGAATCTCACCAGGCTCAAGGTTGACTCAGCCTTCCATCCTTTCTAAGGTAGGTAAATTGAGGACCCAGTTTGTGCGGGCACTAAGCTGACTTTGTATAAATATACAAAAGAATGAAGGCTATTGCTTAACGTATTGTAAGCCGCCCTGAGTCTCCGGAGAAGGGCGGCATATAAATCAAATTAAAAATAAAAAAAAAGTTCTGCAGAAGTTGCTAACTAAAAGAAGAGAATTGCTTTTATTATTAGGGGCCTGAGGTTGAAACGTCTTCAAGGAATTTCAGAAAGGTGCATATGCTCTCAGTGTACATAAAAGAAAAGAATTTTCTTTTCTTTTCTTATTTGTCAAGAATCATAAGCTACAACACTTAATGATAGTCATAGGGTACAAATAAGCAATCAAATCATATTAGGAAACAGTCAATATAAATCGTAAGGATACCAGCAACAAGGTTACAGTCATACAGTCATAAGTGGGAGGAGATGGGTGATGGGAACGATGAGAAGATTAATAGTAATGCAGACCTAGTAAATAGTTTGATAGTGTTGAGGGAATTATTTGTTTAGCAGAGTGATGGCGTTCGGGGAAAAACTGTTTTTGTGTCTAGTTGTTCTGGTGTGCAGTGCTCTATAGCGTCGTTTTGAGGGTAGGAGTTGAAACAGTTTATGTCCAGGATGCGAGAGGTCTGTAAATATTTTCACAGCCCTCTTTTTGACTCGTGCAGTATACAGGTCCTCAATGGAAGGCAGGTTGGTAGCCATTGTTTTTTCTGCAGTTCTAATTATCCTCTGAAGTCTGTGTCTGTCTTGTTGCGTTGCAGAACCCAACTTGTTGGCTTAAAGAAAGGATGCAAAAGGAAAGACAGAATGAATGGCAAAAATTTAAAAAAAAATGTTTATTTTAAATAATTAAATAGAACTCTGAAATTGTCCGATGGCGAGTTGACCGTGGTGAGTTTTTCTGCAGCGAGTTGGCCATGGTTACTTGGCCGGGGCAAGTTGTCCCATTCCGAAAATTTGAACCGTTGCTTCCGTTTGTTTTCAGGCCTTCTGTGCCAACCCCTACCTGGACGGCTGTGATTTTCATAAAACAACAGCTCGGCTTTATAAAGAAACTGGAAAAAGCACTTTTCCTGCCAAGGCGGAAGAGATGAAGGGCTGTTCTTTTGTTATAAGTGCCGCTCCAGCCAGCTGAGTTAACTTGGCAGTTCTCAGGAGTGGGCCTGCGGCCACCAAAGCACACCGGTGTTTCTGTCCCCCCTTGTTCCTTTCGTGCATCTGTCCCCATCAAGATCCCACCAGTAGAGAATTGCCCACAAGGCCCAAATCAAATCTGTTAGTCCTTTGGAGGCATACCTGAAAGGGGCTTCAAAGGTACTCCGCTTGCCAGGAATTAGCAAAAGTTGTGAGGGTCATTTTTGCCAGCATCTAATATATCTTCTTCTTCTTCTTCTTTCGGTTCGTTAGTTTGGTGCCTTTAAGTCAGGTTTTTTTTATATATATTCCTGGCAACTGCATGGTTCCTGCAGTTTTCTTGGCAAAATTTCAGAAGTGGTTTGCCATTGTCTCCTCCTTGCTAGGGCTGAGAGAGAGGAACTGGCCCAAAGTCACCCAGCTGGCTTTATGCCTAAGGTGGGACTAGAACTCACAGTCTCCTGGTGATTGGCCCAGGATCATGCAGTTGCTTTTCATGCTTAACGTGGGACTAGAACTCACAGTCTCCAGGTTTCTAGTATGGTGCGCTAACCACTACAGCAAATTGTCTCTTATCTACTACCGCTAATAGAATTTTCCTTTTATATTGTCATACTGCAGATCCTTGTTGTAAATGTAAACTACAAAAACTTGTTTACACTTACCTTCTCTTTACCAAAGCTTGTTCTTATGCACTATATTATCTATATCTAGATAATGGATATATCCATCTATATTGGAGAGTTTCTTTGCTGATAAAGAAATAAAGGGAGACTAGTATAGATCTATTTCAAACTATTTAGTTCTCATCAGCTAGCCATACCTTTACTTGGATTCGAACTCGGGCTGCCTGTATGTTAGACAGTTGTATTAACCTCTGAGCCACAAGTTCTCCTCCCTTCATCAGCTTGAGCCAGGGGACAGCTGCAATGATTTGCTTAACAACTGTGGCAAAAAAGTTGTAAAATGGGGCAAAATTCACCTAACAATGCTTAACAACGAAAATTTGGGGCTCAACTGTGGTCGTAAGTCAAAGACTGTCTTCAAAAATATCTTAAAATTTTTGATGTTTTTCCTGACCCAGTAGTTCAACAGAATTTGCTATTTCTGTGAATTCTACATATTCATAATTCTGATAATATTCATAGTTTATTCCTCTGTTTGGGGGATTTCGTTATTCTTCCATCAAGATTTTACTGCATTGCATTTTGTATGTTTTGAGTAGCTTGCAATAAAATTTGCTTTTTTCAGTAACTAGATTGCTGAGCAATGGCTCTTAGGTTGTATAGTGAATCCCTCCCTGGGTTTTCCCACAGGGTCATATTAAATCTACCCTGAGTCCTTGGGTTATTGGGGGGGGGGAGTCACTCTCATTCATCCCAACCCACCTCACAGGATTGTTGTGCATAGTTCTAAAAACAATAATGTTGGAAAAAGTTCTATTTTTCATCTCTTGCTTTTTGCAGATTTTGGAGCGGTGCACAATGGGCCAGAGAAAATCCCGTTTGATAAGTGATGGAAATGACATGATTGAATCAGAAAGAGTGATGTAGAGATGGAACTGCTTAGGTGAGCACGAGAGCAGGCTTAGATTGCCTTTTTTCTTCATAATCTTTCTGTTCCCCAGTTCTTTAGGTACAATAACAATTTGCATTGTTTATATGTTTATTTATGTATTAATTAGATTTTTATCTTGTCTTCCTTTCTTTATTTGCTTTTCACGTTTCTGAACCATCCATCTCCCTCAGAGAGATTATTTAATTATTATACATATTATTTCATAAAAAAAGAGCCTTGGTGGTGCAGACTAAAGTGCTGTTAAGTAGCACTTAGCTGCCAGCTGCCTGCAATTACTGTGAGTTCAAATCTCACCAGGCTCAAGGTTGACTCAGCCTTCCATCCTTCCAAGGTAGGTAAAATGAGGACCCGGATTGTGGGGGCAATAAACTGACTTTGTATAAAAAAGAACACCGCTTGGGGGGGGCCGAAAGCCCTACTAAGCAGGTATATACAAAAGTATGAAGGCTATTGCTTAGGGCATTGTAAGCCACCCTGAGTCTCCGGAGAAGGGCGGCATATAAATCGAACCAATAAATAAATAAATAAATAACTGACTCCAGGCTGCAAACTGATATAATGCAGGTAATCCTTGACTTTAATCATTCATTTAGTGACCATCAGAAGTTACAACAGCACTAAAAAAAAGGGACTTACGACTGATCCTCCAAACTGTTGCAGCATCCCCACAGTCATGTGATGGGGTTTGGCAACTGACATATTTTTTCCCCCTTAGGGTGTTCCAAGATAAATGAATCGGTGGCTGTTTCTAGTTAGATAAAGGTTTGCTTGTTCCTCTGCTTTTATTAAAACAATTCCAAGAAAATAGAGTTGTCTTTACTTAAAGAACCATTTAAATAATGGAATCTAACTCTTCCCAATAATAACCTGTGCATGGTTTCAGAGATGTTTCCTTATCTAAACAAAGAAACAATGACCAAAGCAAGTGACTTCCAACTTCCTGCTGGCTTCCCCACTGATTGTTTGTGGGAATCCTCTCCTCTCCGCTCCCCTCCCCTCCCCTCTCCCCTCCTCTCCTCTCCCCTCCCCTCCTCTCTTATCTCCTTGCCTCCCTCCCCTTTCCAGCTGTCAGTTAAGGGGCTGCTGCTGGGTAAGGGAGGAAGGGAGGGATTGCAAGATTGACTGGGAAACTGCCAGAGAACGTTGAAAATGTAAATCACGTAACTGCAGCACAACACAGTAGTGCAACAGCAGCCGGCCATTTTGTAACTTGGAATGGTCGCTAAGTGAACTGTTTGTAAGTCGAGGACTGCCTGTACAGTCGACCAAGAGGATGGTTTTTTAAAAAAAACAAAATTGTGAAATTTCTATAGCGATGTATGGAAGGAACAGTTAAAACAGGGTATTTTTGCATCCTGCATGCCTTTGTCCTTCCTTGGGATATCCTCGTATCCTGAGGGAACATACCAAAAGTCCCTGACCCTTGTATTTTGATCCCTTCATTTCCACACATTCATTAATTCCTTCCAGTGGTTGTGGTTGACATCATCGCAATAGTAGTAGTAGAAGTAGTAATGGTATATATGTGATGTATGAGAACTACTCAGTCATTGGAAAGGACTTTCGATATGAATAGCGGAAAACCCAACCCTTCTTGTCAATCTCCCTGGTGGCTCCTGCATTTGGTGCTTCCCCTCCCTGAAGTGTCAGTATTCAAATACAGAACTTAGACTGTTCACCTTTTTGCAAATTTCAGGCAACCAAAGAAAGGGGCTTTCCAGCCAAATTGTTTGTTCTTAGTAAGCTAGCCTTTAAATATATACCTTGTGGGTTAAAACTGTGAACTGTGAGTAGTCATTCAAGCAGTGGGAGAAAGCTTTTTTTAAAAAAGTATTTTTTTTTTTTAAAGACACAGTTAAAATGGCAGGTTAACTTCTGAGTAGTGAAGAAAACTCCCTCCCTCCCCCAAGTCTTTATTTTAATCTCAGGTAATCAATTTCAATCCCCCCCCACCCCCAACGTGACTGAATTCTTGTCATCCAACCCAGTTTCTCTCCTTCAGAGAACTGGAATCTGGAAGGATTATAAAAGTTGTAAGCAAGATTGCGTCTCCTGGTCTTCAAAAGAGCTTTGTGGTCTGCGGTTTCAGCAGCTGGACAAAAAGGTAGAATCAAAAAGCGGAGAGTAAATTAGGATACAGGGAGTCCTCCACTTGCAACATTTTGAGCCCTTCGAATGTTCGAAGATACGACAACACTGAAAAAAGCGACTTACAGCCCTTTTTCACACTTAACAAAGGTTGCAGCATTCCCCATGGTCACGTGATCAAAATTGCTCAAAGAGGCTTGGCCATTGTCTCCTATTTATGACCGTTGCAATGTTCCGGGGTCATGTAACCAAGTTTTGTGACCTTCTAACAAGCAAAGTCAACAGGGAAGCCAGATTAACACTTAACAGCTATGTTACTAATTTAACAAGTGCCATGATTCAGAACTATGGCAAGAAAGGTCATAAAATGGAGAAAATTTGCTTAATTGTCTCACTTAGCAACATACGTTTTGGGCTCAATAGTGGTCGTAGTTTGAGGACTACCTGTATACTCTCATTGTATGATCCGTGCTACTTGTTAAATGTATACTCAGACATTCTCCCCGTGATCCAAAACAGGAATCTCCAAACTTGGGAACTTTATGACTTGTGGACTTCAACTCCCAGAATTCGTCAGCCAGACATGTTAGCTGGGGAATTCTGGGAATTGAAGTCCACAAGTCTTCCAAGCAGCCAAGTTTGGAGAGCCACCAGGTCTACAATGAAAATTACTTCCATTAGTCTTTAGGAGGGCCGCTTAGAAACATCAGAAAAACTGCATGTTACCTGGAAGAGGTGTATTCCCACACCTTTGGCCCATTGGGAAAAAATGAAGAGAATAATCGTACGTTTTTTCTAAATTCCAGATTGAAGGCCTTTCACATGTATTGACTGGATTTCCAGGGGAACAGGTATGTATTCTGGACTGCACCCGAATCAATAATCATTGATTAAAGCCAACTTGGTGCCCTCCAGGTGTTTGGGGACACAGCTCTACAGTTCTCTCTCTTCTTCAATTGAATGTAATATAATATTCCACATAGCTGATAAAATTGACAGGATTACAAACCTGCCATCTCCAGATATTTTAAACTACAGCTCTTCTAATCTCCAGCCAACAATGTCCAGTGATTGAAGCTTGTCATATCTTAAGTATATCTGGTTGCTTTATCACAAGAAGTCTTTTATCTCTTGCCACCAATATTTGTTAAGTTCTTCTGATTCCCTTTTCTGACGAATATCAGATTCTGGAGTCAAGGCAGTAGATTTCCTCTAAACAACGTCAGTGTTTTCCTCTAATCCTCCTTTTATTTTCTCAAGGAACCCCGAGTTAATAAATTCACACCTCTTGATATTTTTATTCAGCAGTTTCACACCGCAGCCATTTTCTGAAAATCCTTAGTATGGTGCCATCCATTTAAGATCAGTTGTTGATTGGATTTAAAGTGTTTTGAACTCTGCTGCAGCCATAAAATCTCCTAATGCAGTCAATTAAAAAATGGCAGCCTGTGTTCATAGGTTTCCAATTTAAAGAGAAAAGGAAGAGTGTCTCAGAAAAAAAAGAGAGCTCTTGCACCAGTAAATTAAATAGTGCATAATTATCAACAATTCACAGAAAGGAGTGAGAGACAAGAGATACCAAGACCATGTTGGAGCTTCACCAGACCGACTGTTTGGTTTCTGACTCTCGCGAATCAGATATTAACTGTTCGTTCTTTTCTGTGAAATGGGACATTTATTCTGCGTGTGAGGCAAAAGGGTATTTCTGCTGGATGATAAAATATGCAGCATTAGAAAATGAGTGGGTTAAAAAAAAATCAGAGACATAATGGCTGATTAGATATAGTGACAGAATTAGAATTGGAGTTAAGTCACAAGATCTCGGCAACCAACTGTTCCATTTTCTTGTAAATGGGGGGGTCTTTGTTTCTTTTCTTTTTAACAGGCAGAATTTACCAGTGCAGTGAAGATCAGCATTTCGCAGGCCAGATCCAAACCAATAATCTACATGTTAGGAACCTGGAAGGAGCAACATTCAAGTGCCAAGGATGGCTATTGGATTCCTGAATGCAAAGCAATTTGTGAGCACATTAATTGTAACAGTTACTACAATAAAGCATATAAAGAATCTTGAATTGTCTGGTGCCTTTTATGCAAATGTTGCATATTGCCTAACTATTCATTTGTCGAATAAATACCAGGTTCACGAATAGGTTCACAGCTAATGGGTAGGATGACGAGGTGGAGATGATGGGAAACAGTATCTTTTTTAGTGCCCAACACATTCTCAGTTCCATGTATGATTTAGTGTTTAGAGTTCTCTCAGATCTAGGTCAATAGGCCCCATACATATTCTTAAAAAAATCAACTGTATGGATAGTAGCAGCCCAGTACTTTGAAAATAACAGAGTAACAGAGTTGGGAGGGACCTTGGAGTCTTTTAGTTTAAGCCCCTGCTCAGGCAGGAAACCCTATACCAGAGGTCTGCAACCTTAAACACTCAAAGAACCATTTGGACCAGTTTCCCACAGAAAAGAAAACACCGGGAGCCACAAAACCATTCCTGTGCCTGAGTTTTGAGCGGTTACAAAACTAGCATATGTAGTTGAATTAAATGTTCTGTTTTCTTCTGAAACTTTTATTTTCTTGGATTTATCCATGGTTGGCCTACCAGGGGTTGAAAAGCTCAATAAATCGCGTGCCGGTGGGTGTTGCACATTGCACGTTGTGACACATATTTTGAGTGACAGGGAGCTGCAGCAGAGGGGTGAAAGAGCCACATTCGGCTCCAGAGCCGCAGGTTGCTGACCCCTGACCTATACCATTTCAGACAAATGGTTGTCCAAGCTCCTTAAAGCCTCCAGTGTTGGAGCACCCACAACTTCTGGAGGCAAGACGTTCCACTGGTTAATTATTGTCACTGTTAGGAAATTTGTCCTTAGTTCTAGGTTGATTCTCTCCTTGATTAGTTCCCATCCATTGCTTCTTGTCCTACCTTCAGGTGCTTTGGAGAATAGGTTGACCCCCCCCCCTCTTCTTTGTGGAAGATATTGGAAGGCTTCTGTCATGTCACCCCTCGTCCATATTTTCATTAAACTAGACATATCCCATTCCTGCAACCATTCTCCAAAAATATTTTGAAAGGGGGGCCCCTTGCTGAGAAATCATTGATAGCAAAGGCTATTCGGCGTGGTAGGGAACATCTCAAGTAAAAAAATGGTGAGGGAAATAATTTTCATCATTTGTCTAATTTGAGATCTGTGTCTCGTGATTGGTCAAATTGGTCACTCTATAACTGTCTGGTTTGGTTCTGCAACCCAAAAAGACAGACACAGACTTCAGAGGATAATTAGAACTGCAGTAAAAATTGCTACCAACCTACCTTCCACTGAGGACCTGTATACTGCACGAGTCAAAAAGAGGGCTGTAGGAAATATTTACAGACCCTTCGCATCCTGGACATAAACTGTTTCAACTCCTACCCTCAAAATGATGCTATAGAGCATTGCACACCAGAACAACTAGACACAAGAACAGTTTTTTCCCGAACGCCATCACTCTGCTAAAAAGATAATTCCCTCAACAGTTAAACTATTTACTAAGTCTGCACTACTATTAATCTTCTCATCGTTCCCATCACCATCTCCTCCCACTTAGACTGTATGACTGTAACTTTGTTGCTGATATCCTTACGATTTATATTGATATTGTTTCCTGATTGCTTATTTGTAACCTATGACTATCATTAAGTGTTGTACGTTATGATTCTTTTTTTTTTTTATTTGAGTTATATGCCGCCCTTCTCCAGAGACTCAGGGCAGCTTACAATGTGCTAAGCAATAGCCTTCATCCTTTTGTATATTTATACAAAGTCAGCTTATTGCCCCCACAACTGGGTCCTCAATTTACCTACCTTAGAAAGGATAGAAGGCTGAGTCAACCTTGAGCCTGGCGAGATTCGAACCTGCAGTAATTGCAGGCAGCTGGTCTTAATAACAGGGTGCTTTAGACCACTGTACTATCAAGGCTCCCAAGGCTTCTTGATGAACGTATCTTTTCTTTTATGTACACTGAGCGTATGCACCAAGACAAATTCCTTGTGTGTCCAATCACACTTGGCCAATAAAAAATTCTATTCTATTTTATTGAACAATGGATCAGTAAACTCTTCCTGAATTTCCAACAGCATTGCAACGTTTTGTGATAACACCTGTGATGTGATCACAGAATTTCAGGTGCATCACCATCGACCCCAACAGTTGCCTGCCCCTCTTTTCCAAGAAGATCTCCTGTTACTTAGAGGAGAGGACACTTCACCATAGCTCTTTCTTTTGAAGGTGAACCTCTCTTTGCTCAGAGTTGCAGAGGTGGATGGATCATGCATATTAATAGAGATGTGAGAATCACGTCTGCTTCAATCTGTCCCTTCAGAAAGTTGAACCAATTTGGCACTTAGACCTGCGTTATCCATCCGATTTGGAGAATCTTCAGACAGCCGGAGCACATAGGAGACTTTGAAAAATAGGAGCGGAGAGATTTTAGTGGAAATCGGAGACGGCAACCTTGGTGAGCAGACACCACAGATTGTTTTGTAGGAGATCTATCGTAGGAGAGGGAAGCTAGATCTTTTCTAACATTTTTCTACTAGATCTCAAAGTATTACAGGGGCACCTGAAGTCTTTCCAGACTCTCATTGCCAGAAGTAGAGACTTTAATCCCGTTCCTCCACACCACATAAACAGGCCAGAACAGGGGTGAAATCTACTTACCTTCCCTACCAGTTCGGAAATGCGCGCGCCATTGTCACGTCCAATTTTTGATCCTCTGCGCATGCGCAAAGCCTTCTGCACATGCGCAGAAAGTCAAAAATGGGTTACTTCCTGGTTAAAACCAGAAAGTAACGATGTCCAGGCAGGTGGGTGGAGCCTTGTGCTGCCGCCATTACGGTTCGCCAAACCATCCACCGCTACCAGTTCGCGTGAGCAGGACAGAACTGGCAGGATTTCACCACTGGGCCAGAAGATGTACTGAAGTCTTATTTTGCAGGATTGGCAAAAGAAAGTTTTCGGATTTTAATATTGTTGAGCAGAAGCAACACATTTTCTTCCTCCCTATAACTAGGTCGCTGGGGGAAAAAAAAATAAGCTTGGAGGAAAACCCGCAACAGATAAATAAGCAAAAGGAATGTGTGACCTTGGGTAGTGGTGCCGATAGTCAGGACACATGCTTTGGAGAATCAGAATAAACTGTGAAGCAGATCCTGCCAGCCCAAGGCTGTGTAAATGTTATGTTCTCCTTTCCTTCCACCCCACGCCCCCCAGCACCTGATAGGATGGATGGGGCTGAGTAAATAAGAAGGAAAAGCATTTTAGGGCAGGTCACATTGTCAAAATACTGTTTGCTCTGGAAAGCACTGATTTTTGCAAGATCCGAGGTAGAGAGAGAGATTGGAAGCCTATGTAGTTATGAAGATTCCAGGATGGTATGAGAGCAGGGGTGAAATTCAGCAGGTTCTGGAGAACTGGTAGCGGAAATTTTGAGTAGTTCGGAGAACCGGCAAATACCACCTCTGGCTGGCCCCAGAGTGAGGTGGGAATGGGGATTTTGCAGTATCCTTCCCCTGGAGTGGGGTGGGAATGGAGATTTTGCAGTATCCTTCCCCTGCCATGCCACACCACGCCCACCAAGCCACGCCCACAGAACCGGTAGTAAAAAAAAATTGAATTCCACCACTGTATGAGAGGTTGGATGTAATGTAGTCCCAAAGGTGCTTTTTCAAAAGGCAACGAGACTTTGTTTTTCTTTGAAGATGTTTCGCTTCTCATCCAAGAAGCTTCTTCCGTTCTTTGGTTTCCAGAATTGAAGAAGCTTCTTGGATGAGAAGCGAAATGTCTTCAAAGAAAAACGAAGACCAATTTGCCTTTTGAAAAAGCATCTTCGGGACAACCATGACATGGATGACTGAGAATCGCCGCAGACAGGTAATGTGGTCCAAGCATCTCAGAATCTTCTACACGTGGTGAGATCCTTCCGACTCTATGATTCCATGAACCTCCTTAAACTGGAAATTAAAACTTAGAAAGTTTCCACCTACAAAACTTTGGGGTGGCCAGGAGTGATTGCTGCCAACTCGGATATACTTGAGTAACTCAGATTTTCTTAGATTGTCAAAGCTGCAACCATTCAAGCAGCAGGACCTCATAAAGAGTGCCTATAGAAAAGGCAAAGCATGATATATGGACAGGAGGGGTTTCCCCACCCCCACCCCCCTTGGTTTCCTTACACAATCGTTTCTGGTTCTCAAAGTGCTGTGATTCATTAGTTCTAGAAGCTGGTTCAACAAGCTGAAATAGAATTGGGAAGTTTCATTTCTGAATAATGATTTCCTCGTGGAAAAAATAACTGCAAAAAAGAGGGGGGAAATTTAATTTCTCTACTGCTAGCTTTCTACTGCAGAAGTATTCAGTGCTGTCACTGCTAACCCCCCTTCCCTGCCCCCCAAGTAGCACTGAAAGAATGCATAGAGAAAGGGCAGAGTGTAATAAATAGGCAGGAGGGATTGAATTAGGCATTTCTAAAGCAGTGACTTCCTGTATTGTAAACTGGCTATCTGTTAAGTCCTTTGAAATAGTCCAGATCCAAAGCTCAACAATGAATACTAGCTCTTGTCTTTATGGCAAGCTTACATTAAGAGACTCTTGCAAGACCGAATGTGTTTCTCCCCTCCTTCCTTTTACCGTCTGGAAAACTAGGGAGGGTCCCTTCTGAAATGCTTCCCGTTCTCTCTCTTTTTGTGGGCTGAGATGACTCTTATATGAAAATTGTCCATTCTGCAGCTCTTCTTCTGTCTCTGAAGGTCATTCTTACTATACCATTAGTGGGAATTGTTAATGGGTGGTCTTCAAGAGATGATAGATAGATAGATAGATAGATAGATAGATAGATAGATAG